ACGAAGAGAAAATCACAGAAGGCGACGAAGAATGACCCCTGAAACCCCTCAACGAAGCACTGAAACTTAGCCACAAATTACACGCAATGTTTATATTATTATTAATGAATTAATAAGAAATTTTAACTAAATAAATGCATGAAGAAAATGTTTATTATATTAACTTTAATGTGGAAGGGTAAGCGAACCTCCTTGACTCGTGGCTCTAGCTCTTCTTTCAGCACATATTCATTATTGTGAAAGCAGCAAGGACCCCGAGCCGAACTCACATACTTTTCAATCCTTTCATAAATATTCATTGGTAAAAACCACATCATTCAGGCGAAAGTACAAGTGGAGTACAAGTGTCGACTGTCAGATACCCGCGGAAGTATTTGCCAGAGATTCATGCCAAATCCTATGACAAATTCGTGCCACACAATATACCCTGCCATGCTTCAAGTGCTTCCAAGGGGTATTAAAAAAGAGACAAAACCAGCAGCTAAAATTGTGGGTTGAAACATCTGAAAGTGTGTGGTGGAAGGATAGACAGACAGACAGACAGACAGACATTGGTTACACACTGCACGGTCTCTGTCGCTCCTGTCGATATGCTTTTGTTTTGCATTTCGTACTCCCATTCGCATTCAGATTTCAATTTCGAATGGGAACCCATCTTTATGCAACAAATATGAATTGTTGAAGCTACGAAACTCGTAACCGGAGCTGCCACAGAATTGTGTGGCTCTGAAAATCGGGCATTAGCGTTTGTTTGATTTAGGTCAGTGCGACACAGGGTCTCTCCCACTACACTGCTGTGGCTCTCGGCACTCCGGCACTCCGGCACCCAAGGCACCCAAGGCAAATCGGCATGGGAATGTGTAAGGGTTTTGGTTTATTCTAACGAATGCATCCGCGTTTCATTTAAATTTAGATGAACAACATTGTATTCCATTGCTGCTGCTGTGTCCTCCTGCTGCTGTGTGTTGCTGCTTTTAATCTGTGTCAAAATATTTTCCATTTACGAGCCAGCAGAGTGTTTGTTTCCCCCTACAATATATGAATTTTAACGCTTCGGGAAATGTTTGTTCGACAGCAGCATGTAAAATATATATAGATCTATAGCTGGCAATATATTTTCCACAAATTCTTGTTTTTTTTTTATTATTTTTTGGTTTACTTTTACTTTATTATTTGTTGTGTTTTTGTTGTATTTGGTTTTTGTGCACATTTATGCGAGTGTGCTACGCCATGAATTTTTGGGACTATTTGTTGTATTTGCCTGTCAATATTTGAGCTATTCGATGGGTTGCTGTGGGTGCTACCCTGTGTGTTTGAGTCTAGGGATTAGTTTCTGTTTTTAGTGCCAAAATATGAATTGGTTGGCATTAAATTGTGTATATTGCCCGATGAGAGATCGAGCGACTTAGACAGAGGATTTGTGCGAAAATAAAAGCTTAGGGTAATAGAAAAGCACTTCCGAGTGTGCAAGCTGGCAAAAGGGCAAAGTGCAGGAGAGTAAGTTGCCCCACAGAATGTTGTTCTGTATCCACATAATTGAGTATCTGTTCTCGCTCTCTGCTCATGCAACTGTTTTATCATTTCATGTCCTGCTGTTTGCATGTAATTTATGACTAAAATAGTTAATGAATTGAAAAAACTGTGCGTGTCAGCAGGGAGCATAAAATTGCTTTTATCGCTGGCTGCTGCCAGTCCTGCACTTTTGCTGGCTCCGCCTGACTGCTCCACAGATTGGCAGTTGCATTGATAAGTGCTGCAAGGCCATAAAAAACGTGTCTGTGCATACACACACGAAACGCACCTTTAACAACAAACCCGGCTGTGCATCTGTGCCACATCAATGGATGGCAAAAACACACGGGAAATTGCTTTTCATTTCGAGCTTCTGGTCTCGAAAGTTGTGACTAAGAGAGAGGTGATTCTGGTCTTAAGGTGTGACTAAGGTTGGTGATTCTTCTTGATTGTTGAGTGACTAAAACCCGCTAGAAACCGTATAAAAACCAGCTTGGAACATTGCCAGAGCACACAGTACCAGCCAAGCAGTCTCAAGATGCATTTGGTGGCATTTCTACTACTCTCCGCGCCACTTCTGGCAGCTCTGATTACCGCAGAGATATTGCAAGTGACGCCCGAGAATCCCGATGCAGGAAATCGCTCCTCGCCGGCGGAGAAACATTCCAGCACTCCAGTGAGCAGCACAGTAGCATCGAGTAGCTCCACGCGAATGCATCACGAGAATCCCACACAGAAATTCGATGTGAAAAATTACTTTCGCACGAATGCCACTCGACTCGGATCGAGTAACTCCACGGATCTGTTTGGCTACAAAAGATATGCACCCAATGCTGTGGGGGAGCAGCAGCAGCCACCCAGCAATGCCACACGCCAACAGCTGTTCAAGGCCACATTTGTGACGCCGCAGAGTCCACTGCCATCCACATTCTCCCTGGGCTTTGGCACTGGCTCCTACTCACACCCCACGAAGAAACCCACCAATATTCGTACCACCAATGTGATGCTGCCACCAGAGAGCCTATTTCTGTTTGGATCTGGCAACCAGAGAACCACCAGCACCACCATTAGCCCCACTGACCCCTCGACCATGCCCAACATGATGGAAGGGTGCATGGGAAGTGGTGCTGGGATGCTGACAGCCACTCTGCAGCCACTAGTTCTGCTTGTGACATTTAAAATGTGCAACGTTATGCTTTAGTTTTTAAAGATATTATTAATTAATTAATTACGTTATTCTTTATCTAATTTTATGTTGTGAAATGTGTGCATAAATATCAAATAAAAAAGAGTTGTGGTTTTGGAATCTAAAAAAGATTGTTGTGGTATGTGGAAAATTCGAAGTACGAGGAGTCTGGCCTCTAAAATATTCAACACAAAATCTGCCACGAAATATTTTATGCTTCCTCAACTTATCAGTGGTTTTTCCGCTGTTCTTCTATCTCAAATAAAATGAAAATCACTCTCAGAAACACTGCATACATTACATGTTTTGTAGATTTATTTTAGTTTTCTCATTCAATTTCCCCTAGTTAAAATTGATGCCCCTATTAATGCAAGTGACATTGAAAATGAACGATTAATACGCAGCAGACTAAATGGAACTTTTAATTAATTTTCGACGAAAATTCCAATTTAAGTTTCAATTCGGATTTCTATGATGTCGCGATAAAAAGGTAGCTGAAAAAAACTCTGACAGAATATTGATTGAAATCAACGGAAAACAAAAACCAAAACAAAACAGCGACACAAATCTAGCAGGCAAAAAACAGAGAAAAGTGCAACAAAAATGCACTTTATATATTTACTTATATAGTAAAATATGTCACAAACTGTTCATAAATTCATTTGGCGCACCAAATTGGCGCCAAGAACAGCATTTTCCGCTGCATTATTTAACATTTAAAAGTGAATTTCACATGTGACGCGGCAGACAGTCGCATAAATGCATGTCCCACATGTAGATACAAATGTACATATGTTAGAATAGAGTTCTATATTGTAAATATTTGATGCACGTTTTGCCATTAGGAGGGGCGTGACGCCATCGACGGCCATCGAAAGTTTTGCAGTTACCAAAACCAAACAGACTGTCAGGTGTCAAGTTCAGCGAGATAGAAAAATAAGGGGAAAGTGTGACAGAGAGGGGTAGACGGAGAGACTGGTAGAGTAAGAGAGAGGAGAATCCACATTCTTTTGGTATGCCTAAGCGGGCCATCAAAATGCCATTCAGAAGTCGGCGGGCATGCAAAAATTGTGCACATCTGTTGGCTCTGCCATTTGCCCCATTTTCACCTTCAACTGACTGGGCTGCTCACCCCTCCCCTCCTGCCGCCCGTTGCACTTCCGACGTTTTGGGGCGCGTCAAGTTCAAGTTCTTTGCAGTGTTTGGCTCATGTTGACACAGCTGACGCGTAGCTAAAAATGAGCGAAAAACAACTGCAACATGGCTGCCAAAAAGTTGTCCAAACTTTCGCAAAGAGCAAAAGTCTGTGCCAGAGCTAGCCCCGCAGGAGCAGCTCTTAAATCCTCACGTCTGCTTAACTTGGGATACATTTCTTGGGCAGATGTAAGTAAAGGCTTTAATTTAGTTTTTTGGGATTATAAATAAACGGCTCAAGTTTTGATCATAATTGCACGAAAGATGGTGAGCTTTTTGGGTACTCCATCAGTTTATTTATAGACCTCTGTAGTTGTTCCATAGCAATTCCATTTATTTATTCAACTCCAAACTGATCCTAGTGTGACTTTCCCCACTTTGCCTTTTTCTTGAGCGCTGCTGCTGCGTGCTTGATGGCCTTTTTGGTGTGCTTTCTTTTGTTTTTTGCTGCCTTTGTGGTAGTTCTGAGTGTGGATGGTGCCACTGTGGTGGTTGTTGTCGTTGTGCTGGTGCTGAGTGCATCAATCAGCAGCTGATCGTAGGCCTTGCCCTGGAAGCTCATGAGCGGCACATCAATGGCACGCCGCCAGCGACTTAAATTCCTTGACGGCAACGTTGTTTTACTTTTAATCTCGCTGATTGCTTCTGGCGCAGAGGCAAACAAATCTGCGTTATAGATGACTTGTGATCCGGTACGTTGCGCCACTCTGTCCTGACAGGAGAGGGCTATGATGGCCAACAAGCTGAGAATTGTTAAAGATTTCATGGCTGCTGTCTGCTGGCTGCTCTCTGCTGCACTCAACTGATTTTCTGTGCAATCTTTTGCTCTATTTATATAAAAGGGCAGACCGGGAGACCCTTCCAATTAGATGGTACAATACATTACGTTAAGTGTGGCTTCTGTGCTGTGGGTGGAAAACAGATGTTCTCTGCTAATTGTCAAGCCAATTATCAATTTTGTCAGCGAGTCAGCCGCGAGTCTCTCCCAGCTCAGCTCTCAGCTGTTGTGTGGATTCGTATATAAAAGTTTGACTTCCATCAGCGGGTTATCAGTTCTCTCTGCAACCAACTGCCAGCAACAGCAACAGCAACAGCAACAGCATTCAGAATGCGTTTCATCCTCTTGGTTTTGATCAACTTTGCGCTCGCCTGCCTGATCCTGGCGAGGGCCAACACGGAGGAGCTGGACAAGCAGCAAATCTCCCATGACGAAGCCTCACTGAAGGGCAAAGCAAACAAAGCAGCAGTCAAGTTGGACCCACCGACGACGCCTTCTCATTTGAGTTTCTTTTTGCGCCATTTGTCCACCACCAGAGCACCGACGACAGCGGCAAGCGCGTCCACGAAGCGCTTGAGCACCGTTAGTGCTGCGAAAACTGCGCACACCTCAGCCACCAAAGCCTCCAAGCATCAAGAGAGCAAAACCCCCAGCAAGATCAACAAAGGGATCACTTATCAGACAACAAACAAGAATGAAGTCCAAGGAACCACAAAAGTCCACAGAAAGATCGAAGGAAACCGCACCACGCCCAGCACTAGAGAACACAGCAAAACCACTAGCAAAATGAGCGACAAGCCCACCTCCAAGTCACATGTGAAGGCCATCAAACGCGACCCCAAGGCGCCCATCAAGCATGACTCTAAGGCACCGATAAAGACGGAAACAAAATCCAACTCCAAGCATGAATACAAAACGACGACAAAGAGCGAAATGAAGGCTACAGCTAAGACCCCCACAAGGACCGATACAAAATCCCATTCCAGCCGCAAACCAATCGCCAAGACTAGCCACAAGAGCGCCGTGAAACCCACCCACAAGTCGGACATCAAGGCTCCCAAGCACGACCCAGAGGCCACATCAAAGAGCAAAACAAAACCGGCCACTAGCAGTGCCAAAACAAATACGAAGCTCACCACCAAGATCGATGCAAAACCCACCACCAAATCTTACAGCAAGAGCACGCAGCACGACATCAAGGCAAAGTCCGACATGAAGGCTCCTAGGACCGAAACCAAGCCAACCACAAAGACAGACACAAAGGCTCACCCCAAGCAAGAATCTGCGACAACGACGAAGACTGATTTGAAGAGCAGCACCAATGCGCCAACAAGGATCGACACAACGCCCACAGCCACCAGTATCAAGGCCACGCAGCCAGACACCAAAAGTCCATCCACAAAGGTCGAGACAACAGCAAAGTCTAGAGCAGAAGATGCGAGAACTACCCAAGGTGACATCAAGACTAGCAGCAGCAATGCCCCGACTGTGATGGAGACAAAACCCACCACACCAAGCACTATCAAAGCCACCACAAAACACGCCGAGAGTAAGTCCGATCACGTGCCCGTTGCCAAAACCCATGCGAAGACAGACAACAAAACCCATTCGAAATCGCACTCCAAGGCAAACACCAAAGCGCATTCCAAGACCCACTCCAAGACCCATCCAAAGACGGATAATACAAACCACCTAAAGACGAACACCAAGAGTCACAGCAAGGCACATGTCAAGAACGAGCAAAAGACCCATGGCAAGGCACACGCCAAGCCCCACTCCAAGACCCAATCGAAGACTCAGCCCAAGAGCCATAGAAAGAGTCTCTCCAAGACACACACCAAGACGCAGCCTCCCCACAAGACGGACACCACCAAAGCCCCTGCAAAGACTCAAAAGATTCGCCGCTCCAGCAATGAAACTGCTGTGCTCAAGCCTGATGTAATCAGCGCAGGCAATGGATCTAATTGGAAGCTACTGGAGACACCCAAGCCAGAAGCGATAACAACAACGCCTGTGACTAATATCAAGGCAGAAGGATTATCCCCTACGCCTACAACTGCTCCTGTCAAGGGAGAAATAATATCCACTACGCACGCTGCCCCTCCTGTCCAAGGAAAAATATTATCCACAACTCTCGCAGCTACTTCTGTCAAGGGAAAAATATTATCCACAACGCCCGTGGCTGCTCTTGTCCAGGAAGATATTTTATACACTCCGACTCCAGTAGCTTCTCCTTTGGGAGGAAAAATATTATCCACAACTCTCGCAGCTTCTTCTGTCAAGGGACAAATAATATCCACTACGCCCGTGGCTCCTATCAAAGGAAAATTGATATCCGCAGCTCCAGCAGGTTCTGCTATCAAAGCAGTCATTTTATCCACTACTCCCGCAGCTCCACTCAAAACTCCATCCATTGCTGAGACTTTGCCTGCCAGCACCACTGGTCGTCCCGTGCTTGAGGGCTTCGCTCTAGTCGAAGCGTCGAGCCTGCAGGAGGTGGATCTTGCCATACACAAAATGATGGAAAGCACCACAGCGGACATCAAGAGTAAAGGATTTCGCTGATGACGAACAGGATTGGCGGAGTTGGCCCATATTCTTATCTTACAGGTCAAATATTGTACATTAAATACATTAAAAATAAATTCAGAGTTAATTTTCTGTCCAAAAATGGTTAAGTAGTTTGCTGGCACACGCAGCTAATGACCGCTGAGCGAGTGGATGGACGACATGCAATGAATATTAATTGGCCCACATGTGCAGCAAAATAGAAATAGAAATGCAAGCGCCGCCCCGCAACGCCCCGCAACCATAAAACCATAAATCTCACACAATTAGCATTAAAAGGCAATTTGGGCCAATTTAAACACACACATCCAGCAGTGGACTCCAAAAATCCAGGACTAGCACTCCGTACGAGTACGAGTACGAGTAACCGTGCCCTGCCCATTGATATGGAGCATGCAATATGGCGTTGGAGGCTGCCAAATGCAAATGCCTTTAACAACAACACACAGAAAAAGAAAAAATGAACAGCCAACAACTGGGCCATAATTTCCAGTTACTTTCTAATCTGCTGATAATATTAGCGCTCATAAATTTCCGCATGCTTTTGTATTCTCGCGTATTTTTGTGTGCCACTGGAAATCTGTTTTTTTCTTGGCCGGTTCTGGTGCTGGCTGTTCGTTCCGTTTTTTATTTATCCGCCAGCATTGGGTCCGGGGGAATGCAAATATTTTTTTGTTGATGGCCTGCAGCGGCAGCTTTTCAAATATTCATTCATGCAAATTCATTAAGATTTTTTGTAGGAACCGCGTTATGAATGCAAAGGCCGCAACGAAAAGCAAAGAGACAGCAGGCCAGGCAGGCTGGCAACCAAAAAATATAACGTACATGTATTGTGTATTACGTAGTTTATAACTCCGCCTCTGCATCTGCAGACGATTGAGTTCCCTTACAGTTTTATGTATTTTACATACATTTCGTTGGTCGACCGCCATTTTCCACCTTTTTGGAGACGCTCGCTGCGAGGAGAAGTGAGGAATCTCCTTGCGTGGAGGCTAGCAAAGCTGCTGTCTATGCTATTAAAAATACAACATAGTAAATTAAAAAACAGAACAAACAGCAAACAAAAAAGGGAAGCAAAGCAAGAGAGGAAAGAAGGAAAGAGAGCCAACAAAAAACATGTTAGAAATGCAACAAAAAGCTTGGGGAAAATATTCCTTCTGGCAGCTGCCCCGTCGCCATCTTGGCTGCGGCTTTGGAGATTTCCTTTTCTCTCTGTTCTTTCTCTGTTTGCTTTATTTGCATTTCGCTTTAGTTTCCCGCTTTCTCACAGAATTTGCCGCTTTTTTAATTTCTCAACAAGCTTTTTGACGTCAAAATAAGCGTAATATTTAGTTGTGCTCCTCAGCAGCAGCAGCAGCAGCAGCAGCAGCAGCAAGAGAGAGCGAAAAAGGTGAACATAAAAGGAAAAAGGCAGACATTATGTTTAGCAACGTGGAAGTAAGCATATTACTTCGCTATTTTTATAGACTCTACCTCATGCTGTTGCTTCTGCTGTTGTTGGGACTTTCAGTAATTATGCAGGTGCAAATGCAAATTTTAATAAAGAGAAATTCTCAGTTCTGAAGTGCAGAATGAAGCCACATGCTGTGGCAGAGTCAGCAGAGTCTTTTGTGTTTTGGTAAAAACTTTCCTTAATTTAATGCACAAAATTTATAAATGATTATTTGTTTTTCGTTACAGATAATCCATGCCATACGTTAAGAGATAAACAAGTCTAAAGTTCCAATTGGGTAAGCTTTAAATTTCCATTCACAATAAAAGCCAAAGTCCTTGGCTTTATTTGCTAGCATTTTATCATATTTGCGGAACCTTTTCAATATATTAACTGTCAGGCCGCAAAAATTATGCCAGAGCAACAACAAAAAGAAGAGAGACAGACAACGATTGAGATAAATATCGCGCATATAAATATCATAAAAGAAAGCGACATAAAAAAAAGAAAATGGTGCAGATTAAATCGTGAATTGTGTGTGGGATACGATGCGATGGCTATTCCAATGTTCGAGGTTCGAGGTTTGAGTTTGAGTTTAGATATCAACGACAGTTTATCTTTGGCTTACCCACAGACAGAGAGACCGACATGCTCGCACCCAAACCAATGTCAAGGCATTATGAAAAATGTTGCACGCCTAAAAATATGTTGTGAGGGGGCTGAAAATGCAAAGCAATTTAGTGGAAAAAGCCGCAACAGAGGCGGAGGAGCATATGTAGTAGGGGGAGGCGCAGAAGAAAATCCCAGAGAGCAGCCTGCTGGAAACAGGGAAATTTCTGCCTCTCTGGTATGCCTTTGTGGCTTTGTGGGTGGTTTGCTTTCAAATCAAATGAGAAGGCACAAAGCGAGGCAGGCATGTGAGTGGGCAAAGAGGCAGAAACAGAGGGGCAGCGGCTGAGAGGCAGTTTGGCTTTCAAGTAGCATGTTGCTATTGCTACTGGCTACTGACTGCTGGCTGCTGGCTGCTGGCTTCTGGCTGGCTGCAGAGTCATGTCGAGGACACACGCCCAAACTAATTTATTACTTTAATTCGCGTTCAAAGTGGCTGCCGTTTGTCTGTCGTCTGTTCTTGTTGTTGTGTGCCCTGCTTCCGTTTCCTGTTTTACAATTTTTGTTGAGTGCCAAGTAATAAATGATGCGTCATTGGGGCAGACATCCCAAGCCCACACTCCGCACTCCGCACTCCGCACTCCACACTCTTCACACTCCCCAGAAGCACCTACTTCTCAGCTCCAGGGGGAGCCATGGAAATGTATCAAATTATGCGTCGCCATGGCGTCGTAAATCGTTTTTCGAAACCAAATGCCAGCTATTGGCGGTTTATGTGTGCTCTGCCCCCTCAGCCCCTGAGGCATTTCCATCTATCGAGCCCAGATCGGGCCGCTTCCAAGTCAGTTTCCCCCGCTTATAGTTGATATATTTTAGAGTCTCAAAGCTGCCTTTAAGTTTTATCTTTGAAGGCATCTCCCAGCTTTAATGCTCCACTCGCTTATTCATGCCATCATTTCAAGTGCTTCTCATATGCAATATTAACAATTTTTAATGCAAATCCAGAAGAGGTTGGGTCCGGGAATGGCCATTGCACATCGCATTGCTTTGGGGAGCCATCGCGCTAAACCAATAACCACTTAACACGTTCACGACATCGTCAAGAGAGCAGAACAGCCAGGAAATCCCACGCCATCGCCCCCGTTTGCTTCAATAACAATCATACGCACCATTGTGCAGCTCAGCCCATCAGCAGTCCTGGTAGAAAATCAAATTTTCCACCGTCATTAAACGCTTTGTAAGGCGGTCGTCCCCGCAGATGTGACGACAACGGCAAAAGGCAAACTCAACTTTAAGCAGGTGCGCTGCTGCTCCTTTCCCTGGCGATGATCAACACTTTTTTATCATTTAATCCTGCCACACAATGGCAGGCGCCTGGCAGCCACGAAGCGAAAGAGTAGCCACGGCAGCTGCTGGTTAATAAATTTAAAGGACATTAAATTTGTTAACAGCAATTTAACTATTAATGAAAGCCCGCTACCCGGTTGGTTCGTTGGTTGTTCCCAGCCAGCTTTCTGGTTCATCCATTTACAGGGATTATTATCTTGCTGCTGCCTCCATCTCCTGCCGACTTTGGCTTCAAGAAAAATGCGGACAACGCAGAAGCCAAAGTGAGAGACCAAAAGCCAGACGAAGGAGCAGCCACCAACAGACAGGCCAGGCCAACCAGACAACGGAAGTGGGTTAAAAGCACACACACACACACACACACATGCATATGCATACATACATACATGTGTGTGTGTGGCTGGCAGTCGTAAGCCATAATATCGATTAAGGATTATGATAATGATTGTGTGCTTAAGTTGTAATTGCAAAACTCAAACAGCCACACAGACACGCAGCACCCTACACCCTACACCCACCAGGGGTGTGCTCTGCGCTGTGTGTGTTCTCCTCTCCCCTCCCTCTGCTCGCCCAGTTCTGCGCTTGTTTGTCGCTCAGGTTTATGTGCATGAATAAGTCGTGAAGATTGATTAGGAATTTGTGTCATGGCATTAGTGCTCTTGTTGCTGCCGCTTCATGGCGTTGTTTTTGTGCTTGTCGTTGGCTTATAATTGCTCAATGTTGCAGAGCACAGCACATGGTTCTCCCCGCTCTCTCCCTTCCCCCAAAGCTGCCTTTTGGCTAATTCGACAGGCAGGCTCAGAATGCGCTGACACTCGTGCATACAGTGTATGAATTATGTATGCGCATACAGCATACAGCAGCTGGCCTGAAGATTTGTGCACGCCACTTGATTAGTTGATTGACTTTTAGTTTATGAACTTTTGGCTAATCCACAATGGAGATATTCATTTATACTTAACGAATATTAACTCTAACTTTGGGCACAGCTGGCACGGATTCTTCCAGCAGCAGCTGCAGTACATTGACATTACTCGGGCACTGTCTACCGCCTGGAGGCCTTCTTAACGCATTCCTCAAGCTATTTCCAGCCTAATTTGTGTGGTTTATCAAGAGGGATTTAGCATGTATCGAATATGCCATAAGCAAATTTATATTTTAGATATGAGCAGAATCCACCCAAGTCCAAATTCCAATGCTAATTTTTGTGGTCTATCAAAAGGGCTTAGATATATGTATAGAATTTTGCAACATTTCTTGAATTTTTGCAGCAAGTGACAGCTTCTTTTGTCACATTTTGCGCACTGTCAGACAGCCACTGAATGGGTTTCTCTATTTGCCTGCTTGGCTGCTGTTTTAATGCAACTGCCACCAGAGTGCTGGGTAGCACCACAAAAAGCCGGAAACTTTTTAGCTCTAAACAGCCAAAAACAAATAGATATGCCAGTCACTCCGTTTACCTACGATTTACCCCTCCAACTGGCACTCCACGTGCGTGTGTGTTTGCCTTCCTGTTTGCTGGGTTGGGGCGGTTCCTGCTGCTGTTTCTGTTTCTGTTTCTGTTTCAGTTACAGACAAAAAGTCTCTCGGTTTTTGCTCCAATTTTCGC